TCGTCGAACCACTTGACCCCTGAATTCCGCACGGCCAAATGGAACTTGTTCGGCAAGAAGTTCAAACACCAAAAGGTGGAACCTACGCGTGAAAGGTTCTGCTTGTCTGAGACGGGCGAGACCTTGAGTGATCTCTTGGGACAGTACTTCGTAGACGAGGTGTTGTCGGCTGATGCGGCCAAGACGGCCGACGAACTAGCCAAGGCCTTGGAGTCGTCCTTCTCCACTGGCATTGTCACCGCCGACTGGTTGGACAACTCGACCCGCGCCAACGCGCAAACGAAGATGTCCAAGCTTGTTCACGCGTTGGGTGGCCCGGAGAAGCCGCAGCTATACCCCACGCTAACGTTGGATTCGAAGACGTATTTGAACAACCGGTGGATGGTGTCCCAAGTGAACGTCGACACCAACTTGAAGCTGAACGGCCAACCTGTGGACAGACGCAAGTTCCGCAACCCCCCCCATGTGGTGAACGCGTACTACGGTCCCCAGACGAATCAAATTACACTCCCCGCCAGCATTTTGCAAAAACCATTCTTTGACGGCCAGTTTGACGCTGCTCAGAACTTTGGTGGCATCGGGGCGGTCATCGGACACGAAATTACCCACGGGTTCGACAACAACGGCCGCCAATACGATAGCGACGGCAACTTGAAACAGTGGTGGTCGAACGCCACCAGCACTGCGTTCAACACGAAATCCCAGTGCATTATCGACCAGTACGCCAACTTTGTCGTCAAGAGCGAAGTCAATGGCGCTGTGTTGGGCAACATCAGCGCCGAGATCTCTTTGGATGAAAACATTGCGGACAACGGGGGTCTCAAGACCAGTTTCCGCGCATACCACGAGTACTTAAAGAAGTTCCCGTCCCAGTACACGGAAGAAGCAGGCGACAAGTTGTTCTACTTGTCGTACGCCCAATCCTGGTGCTCCAAGAGCACGGATGCCTCCCTCAAAATGACTTTGAGGGGCAAGCACCCGCCCAATCGGTTCCGCGTGACAGGGGCGTTGCAAAACGACGCTGAGTTTGCCCGTGTGTTCCAATGCCCCACCGACTCGTACTTGAACCCGTCCAACAAGTGCTTGTTGTGGGAATAGGGTTGATCGATACGAAAATATGTGTAGCGTTGTGCATTCGTAAGGAAAACTAAGAAAACGATGTCTTGGTTGAAGTGTGTTGCTTTTCATGTGCGGCGCACACAAAAACTAACAGTAAAGTTAATGTATACTACTAGTAGTAAGTATGTGAGATCACCCTCGGATTCGCTTAGTGAGTGTAGTTGAACTTGAGATAAAGTCAACTACTCGACGGGTTTGGTGCGCGCAGACATCGGGTTCGTATGGTTGGGATTGCGCTTGGGGTTACCACTTCACTGTCAATAGATATTTGAAACGGAGGAATTCCCTAATGCTGTTTTGGCATGGAGTGAATAATTCAAAACGCGCAATACATAAACCGGTGCTATTAATAAGCTTACAGTTAGTATTGTCAATTCGATTCGAAACTGGAGCGTTAGAATCGAATTCTTAAAATCATGGATTCAAGAACAGCCTCAGCCAATCAAATCACGTCCAGGCGATTTTCTGCCAATCCAAACGTTTTATTTGACCTAATCCCTCCGCATTGGGTAAAACAACATATAACACAGACACCACACAAAACCGACAAAATTCGGCCCCCTGATTGGATGAACGAAAAATGATTGAATTCCAATTGGTCAGTATTTTTCCGACAATCCGATTGGACGAGGCAATTGTCGTAGCTGCAACATATCACTAACATGTACGGATCGCCTCAATGAAACGAACACGCTCCACTAAGTTTTAGGCCAATCGGATAACAGGAACACTAATTTTTGTACACGTACAGTACTAGTACGGCTTTATATTGGTTGAAATACTATCGAGCCAACATTGCACTCGAAACGGTGCTGATCAACATAAACAAAACGGCAAGTCGAACGAGTAGGGTTGCTGTTGTTATCCGAAGCAGTCAGCCGGCGCCCCGCCATGATGCATGGGGACCATCGGTGGGTTGGTGGGATCCCTGGGAAAAGTGTTTTCACGCGTGCTTTTTGGGGGTTTTACTCGTGTTATGAAAAGTGGGGGGATCACGCGTGTTTTCTCAACAACAACTTTACGGAATCGGGGGACTTGCGCGTGTAAATATTTTGACATGCATAAGCTATTTTACTTAACAATCTTGACAGCTAAGGCCCTGGTCGGGGAACTACCCTGAACGAACCCTGAACAAATTTACCCTGAACGACTTAAATTTGATTGGTTGATTTATCCGAAATCCGGTTGCATTCTGGGTTGACTTCGTTCAGGGTTGACAATTTCAACCCGAGACTCGGAGTCTCGGGTTGCGCGGCAACCCCGAATGTGGTGTGAGATAACCAATCATATTTGACCTTCGTCATTTGGCTTCACTCTCACTGTCCTTCTTGCTTTGTCGACGTCAATATGGCTAAGCAAACACAGCTCACATCTAGTGCCGCCGACACAGTCGAGCCCACGAAGGCGCGGAAATCAGCAAAGCTTCCCAAGTCCTCATCGGGTCCGATCGGTGCACGTATGACCAACACTACACCATCGAGCGCGAAGGCCAAGGCCAAGTGGTGTGAATCATCGATCGCTGCAATGTTCCGCCTCCGATACAACGACATGGGCCCTCGATTTGATGGAGTCAAGAACAACCAAATGAAGAAAGCCGCATATGATCTTCTTGCTGCGGAGCTATCCATCGAAATGGGCAGACTGTTTGAAGCATTACAAGTGCAAAATAAGGTAATGTACTTATTGTACACGAT